AAAAATTGAATTCAACATTGACCACGGCCATACATGTATTTGCAACATCACCCTTGAGTTTGTTCTCACTAAGTTTTGGTATATTTATGCAATGCATAAATACATAATACATTCATAATACATAGAAAAAGAGACACACGCATATATAAGTGTAAAAATTATTTACCATTTACCAGCTACTCCCAAAAGTAATACCCCTCCACCTAAATTCCAAGTATAGAAAGAATCTTCCTTCCTATGTTAATTCCAGTACCATTAGTACTATATCACATGATACAGACAAAAAATAATTAAAACAAAAAGCAGTGTATACTGGGCAAACAAAATGGTGATTAAGTTCAAACAGCAACAAAAACACGTGGTAAAAAAAGTGGAGGAGAGTCATTTCCGTTCTTGGTTTAGGTTTCTCTTGTCTTAAACAGGGTACGACATCGTTTTCAAGTTTTCCTTGCAGTTTTAAGAGCAGGACTGTCACCCAGAGGTAAACTCTCTGCTCTTTTTGACTGCCGAGAAAATGCGGGCAGTAAATACAAGCCATTGGCCGCTAGGCCTTGCAAAAGAAGAACAATACGCTGAAAGGTAAACAAAATTTACCAACATTGAACAACTGAAATTTCTCAACAATTAACCAGATAGAAGAAAGGGGGGAATTGGGGGAATCCCTTAAAGTATACCGAAAAGCATTGGAAATGGAAAAACTTCGTGAAAAACTAAGAAATGGGTGCGGGCGAGGTTTATCCTGTTTAGGGCGGAAAGGGAATTGAACTCACCGGCGAGTCTATTTCCATGAGAGAGTCATTGCACTTTTTGAGGAGGCTTTGGTTTTGCAGAGAGGGGGAAAGAAGAAGATAGGTAGGGTAAGAAATAAGATAGAAATGGACTTATTGGGAAAGAAATAATGTTCTTTATTTTTATTTTTTTATATATTTTTTTACAACTTGACATTCAACTTTTCCCCCTAGATTTATAGCAAAACAGTTTCAACTTTCAAGTGCATGTTATGTCGGTGGCACAGACTCAGTTTATACTCCACAACTCATGAAATTATACCTCTCTATTTTACCTTTTTAAGAAATAATAAAAAATATTGAAGTTGGAGTTCAAATGACCAATTTAGCTTTATTTTTAAGTTTTACAATAATCATGTTTGAAATTAGGGGAATTTGCTTTGCACCCCACTTTATAGGTAATATGGGACGTTGTACCCCGTTTTAAAAAAAACTTTGATTTTGCACCTCATTTCACTTAAAAATCGTTTGATTTTGCACTCCAGTTAGAAATGTTTCTTCTCAAAATGTTATATGATGGGGTGCAAAGTCAAAGTGTTTTCAAAACAGGGTGCAAAGTCCAATATTACTCATAAAATGATATGCAAAGTCAAATTTCCCCTTGAAATTACTCAAAAAAATGTTTGAAATTTTTTCTTAAAATTAAGAAAATAATTACGGAATATAAGGTCATCTACTATTACGGAATCGTCACATAAGGTCATGCACTCAATAGAGTGTCATATAAATACGTCTACTTATAAAAAGCAATTAGATGAGTCAAAATGACCCGTTGATAACCTCCTGATCCGGATTTTAGATTAGTGTCGTTATGTTTCCCTTGTATTTAAGCTAATCATAACCAAATATTTAACATCAGCCTTATAATCTATTTTAAAAAGGTAGTCAAATGTACGCTAAAATCGGGATTACGAGTTTGTCAACACGTCATTAGGACTCATCTGATTGCTTTATATTAGTACACGTATTTATATGACACTTTATCGAGCACATGGTCTTATGTGACAGTTGCATAATAGTAGATGACCTCATTTATCTCTTTTCTCTAAATTAAATCGATGTTGAGGTTGATAAATATAAAAATAAGCATACCAAAGACGCTGTAAATCACACTATAATGTTTTATGGAGCAAGTATTTATACTGTTATTAGCATTAACATTAGAGGTTTTTCTTCATACGTTACTAACAAAAAAATGTGATTAAATAAGGGGAAATTTGACTTTGCACCCTATGTTTTAGGCGATATTAGACTTTGCACCCCATATTCAAAATCATTAATATTTGCACCCCATTAGCTCAAAAATTATGAAGGAGTGGGGTGCAAAGTCAAATGATTATATAGTGAAATAGGGTGCAAATATTAATGATTTTGAAAATGGGGTGCAAAGTCCAATATCAACCAAAACATAGGGTGCAAAGTCAAATTCTAACTTTTAGTAACTATAATTGTGTATAAAGTTTACATCATATTTCCAGAAGTAATATTAGTGAATTTTTTTCTTAACATTTACATGTTTTACAAAACAGTAACAAGTGTTTGTGGGAAAATTAATTTTTCTTATCCAGAAACTAATTTTACTTATGTTTAATTCTGAGGAGTTTCAACTTCTTTCCCGTTTCATAAGTATTTCTAAAAATTTAAGACCAACGGGTAACACTAAAATTAAATTAATTGGTTGAATCTGTTAAATATGGAGAAAAACTTAAATATAATTTACTATTAAACCACATGAAAATTTATAAAATAGAAAACTTAAAATTTCATTGTTAAATTTAGCCAAAAAAATTAACTCAAAATTTACTAAGGATGTTTTTACTTGGACCGTTTTCAATCCCAGACCGAGCCAAACTTCAATAGATCAGACCATATAAGGCTTAAACAGATCAGACCATATAAGGCTTAAACAGACCATATCAGACTAGACTAGACTTTCATAGTTACAAAATACACAAAGACCAGACATTTATCAGATCAGTTCAGACCAGACAAGACTAGACTTAAACTGACCAGACCAAACCAACCTTCAGTCCAAATAAAAACATCCTAGGAGTGATAAAATAATTTTAAATTTAGATTATTATACTCTCCCTCCCTTAAAACTTGACCATGTTTGACCAGAACGAGTATTAATAAAGTAAAAATTGTGTGGGGTTGAGAAAAGAGAATTAACTGGAACCAATTCTTTACTTAAAATAAAAAATGACAAAGTTAGTTGAGAATAAAAAAAGGTTGACAAAATTTTAAGGACAGCTGGAGTAAAATTCAACGCGTAAAAACAAAATTTAATTATCCGATATAAGTTGGTTGATATTGGATTTAGAATGTGAAATATCAATAACTCTATCAATCTTACTCATATTGGTTAGAATCTCTTCAAGTTTCATGAAATTTTAAATTACATAAATATATTGGAACTGAAGTTCTCTCAGATTTTGACTCATCAAGATTCAAAAATATATTGTCCTTGCGAGGTCAGACTAATCACACCTAACAATGACCTTAACAAAGTTTAATTTTTTCTTTAGAAGTCTACTTTTATATTTAAAGTAATTACTCTTAACCCATTTTCACTAAATAGGAGTTCATGCTAATTAAATATTCTCTAAATTGGCCTCTAATTCCTCATTAAACATGCCCTTTAAAAGTCTACTTTTATATTTAATGTAATTACTGATTACTTTTTAACCACAAATATGAAATATCCCTAATTTAATTAATTGATATAATTGATTGTCCTCTAATTTCATTGCATAATCAAGTCAGTATGTTGGTTTCAAATATGATGACAAATGAAAATTACTGAAAGTAAAAATACATAATTGAAAATAGTTGTAAGCTGATAACAAATGTATGATGCTTCCAAAGACATGGTGTAATTGGAATCTATTTATGACTTGAAAGACAATTTACAGTCTGGATTAACCTATATCAAAATAAAGATTAACTAATATGCTAGAATTGGAGTAAGGTAAGAAAGATTGCACAAGAAAACCTAATGTAGTTGATGGTGGTGGACAGAATGGGTTGACAATCAAAGTTGCATAGAGGTGTGGTGATAGAATAGTGGGCCTGCCTGAAGGTGTAACAATACATGTTACTTCAATGAATGGGATAAATAATTATATTATTGAGTGGGGAGCTATGAATAATGGATGGGTACAAATCTTTTTTATATTATTGGGTCATGGATTCTTGTATTGTAAACAAAGGCACGTTCATTGCGCCCGTTGACGCTTTGACCCGTTTTTACTTTATTTTCGCACCACTCTTCAAAATTGGATTAATTCCCACAAAATAATCCACAAATTTGGATTTTTTAGAGTGAAATTGGATTACTTTGGGTGGACATAATGCACATACCATTTATTCATATTAGAACTAACCTCTTTTTCTCTAGTTACCTTTCATCTTGGCTTTCATATAAGTGGTTTTTATTGACTTGCCCAAACCAAAGGATCTGTTCATTTTACAATGATTTTTTTATGGAAAATTTTTACAATGATCATTAATTTTTAATCCCAAGTCTTCCGGTAAGACCCAATCTGACCTGATTCTATTTGTTCCATGTTGTACCACTTTGATGCCTAATTTGATCTAAGCATATTTTCATTTAAAGTAAATAATTACACTAAAATAAAAGTTGTTTACAAAAATAACTTATACCCATTTTTATACTTAATTTGTCGTAACATTATATTCTCATAGTAACTTTAGTCATATTTTTGTAAAAAAAAGTTGTAATATTTTTGAAAAACCTCCAATTTTCTGATATGATTTAGTTTGAATTAATCAGGTATGATAAATCTAGTTTATGTCTTTTTACCATTGACTACGTCTGACTAATATAATCTATTAGGTGTAGTCTAGTTTGAGTCTAAAACCATCCATTGGAAAACATCCTAAAAGAAATAAGACTAACTAATAAAACCCAAAAGATTGTAATTTAATACTGCTTCCATCCACAAAACTTGACCAAATTCACCTTTCTTGATCGATGATAATAAACTTTAGATAATGATTTTAGTTACTCCACATTATATTTGTGTGAAATTTATCTTTTATACTTTCATAAAGTACTTTTCATAAAGAACATTTCAAATAATTGTGTGTTTAAAATATCATTGATCTAACTTGACTATATCATTGAACAAGGAAAGTCAAAATAACAAAGTACACTAAATTCATTTTTTTATTGAAAATTTAAAATATGTCTCATTCAGTCGCGCACATTACACCCAATTACACCAAAATATTCGGTCCCATGGGGCATATAATTCATATCAAACAAGAAATTACAATAAGAGTACGGGAAAATAGTTTGTACACGTTCACGCATCTTTGTTTCTATTATTATTATTTTTGTTTAATAATAATATAATAATTACAAAGTTCCATACGGACAATGGTACTGCAAATTTGCGAGATTCAACCCCAGGGTAAAAATATAAAGATTTAAAAAGAAATGGCCCTACATAGCAACAAAAATATTTATAAATTCCAAAACACGATGACTATGTTTTTCTTCAGAGTAATTACTGTCATATTTTGACATATACAGACTTTTAACATAATAATATTTTCCAAACATGAAACTATGAAAGTAATTACTCTGAATTTAGCAAGTAAAAACATAGTACTTCTATTTTGAAATTCCAAAACATTATTACTCCTATTTCAAAATTTTCCCAAAACAAGATACTTAACAAGTTACTTCTATTGCCATGGCAGGTTTACGGACAGAAGTTCTTCAATAATGTCTGTATTCTGAACTAATTCTTCTTCTATAGTACTCCGTATATGTATATGTTTCCTTTTTTTTTCTATGTCTTGTCTTTAACCTTTAAGTTTTTTCGTTTTGCGTTTACAAAGATGAAAACTAAGAGACAGAAACACAAATGGGAATACTGCAAAATGAAGTAATCTCCAAGATGCTCTCTGCACTCCGGGTATGTTTTGCCTTTCAAAGATCACTTGTGCGTATTCATAGAGTTCCATATCAAGGTTGTTGAGTGAACTTATCTCTTGGATGAGTTGTGCAGGAATACGACGGCGAGCCTGCACAAGATGCATATGTTTTTAAATTTGGGATGGTACAACCCTTTTTAGTTCATTTAACTAAATTTAACAATGTGAAATTCCAAAATACCAGTCGTAACATACTGAAATCATACTATCATACTAAACAGGAGATTATGAGTAATTACTATCATACTAAAATCACACTGTAATATTATGACATTACCAGACATTAACATGCTTACATGCCGATATTAATGTCATACTAGTGGTATTTTCCAATCATGACAGTAACTACTCCATGACAGTAACTACTCCTATTGTGGGGGTAAAAATAGTACTCTCATTTTAAAAGTTGACATTATTTTTACTCATATTTAGGGCAATTACAGCTAAGTTTATCATATTTAAAATGTTAGAGATTTAGAACTGAAAAATAGAAAATTACAATAACTTTAATTTTGAAATTAGGTTTCTTTTGTTGAAACATAACTAGAACAATTAAGCAAATAACTAGTGCCAACACATACAGGTAAGAGAGATGAAGAAGTGCATTTTGTTTTCAGATGTTTACCTCTTTTGTGAAATTTGCAGGATATATTTTCATCAGTGACTTTGTTCTTCTTTCTGACTGAGATGAGCGTAAGCTCTTCACACAGGCCTCATACGCATTGATGAGCTTTTCTGCAGTCATCTGGCATCTCAAGTGCAGAAAAAATTTGTTACAATTCAGAATGACTAAATTTCATGTTCAGCAACACTTATAACCACAACTTGAGGCATTTATAATAATCACAATTCAAGAAACTAACAATAAAAAACCTGTTACCTCTGCATCCGGACCAGAATCTTCAGATAGATTTATTTGTTCTGTGGCACAAGCACATAGTATTGTTATTATTATTACTAAGCGAATAACTATCACAAAATGTTTTATTCCTTAAAAATGGAGTAAAAAAGTTACTCGAGGGACTTCAAATCTAAGAAAAAAAATTCAATAACAATCATCATCAGTTATTTGCTTTGCTGCAATAGTCAAACTCATGAATTGAAAACATAAAACTACACTGCATTGGAATCACGAAAGATAAGATAGTCCCTTCTTAAAGGAGTCTACCACAAAGTGAAGAATATTAACCTAACAAACGAAAAATTCGGAAGATGTAGGAGGGGCTTTTTGTGAACAAAGATGACAATTAACCAGACAAACTGCAGCATGGACCCTAAAGAAACCCCATTAGCACTAAAAGTTGGATGCCACCAAATATCCTAGTTTTGGGACTTCCCTATCTTTAGGCACTCTTTCATTTGAATGAAATGAATGTTACCGAAGCTTTTGCTTAAAAATATTAGCACATTCGGTAAGTGCAATCAAATAACTCTTATCAAACAAGCAGTTTAGGTCTTTGTATTATTATTATAGTTATTATTAATTTATTATTATTTAACATTATTACATAGCTCATCAAGTAGCTAACCTGAATTGTTGTTAGTAGATTCGGAAGTGCTTTTGCCTAACCTTGAGGGAGTTAACTGGGAAATCACCTGAGTACCAACCACATTTGCAAACATGGAGGCAGACTCTTTGTGGTTCTCAGTGATCCCAACATACAACATTCCATCCAACCTCTTCTGCAAGATTATGTATGGAGGAATTTAATATAGAAACTGTGGAGGAGGAGGAGGAGAACATGATGAAGAGACAAACAATGCATGTATTTGGAAAACCCCTCTCATTATTAAGTACCTTCGCAACTTCGAGTGCATACTGACCAAGAGTATGATACTTGAGTACACAATGGCGCACATGATGAGACACTGCCATATAAGAGTTGTTTGTGAGTCCTGCAACCTATTAGTCAAACACTTTCAGGCGGAATGAACCATCTTTTTGTGCATTATAATAAAGAACTGAGCTTTTACAGCACTAACTAAAGATAAATAAATGTGTCTTGTATTCTTCTGTGCCATTACATCCTCCCAAGTCCTAACTCAGAGTGAGAATTAGAAAAACAGAAAGTGAATGGCTATGCATTTTCATATTCTTTTCATAAAACTAAGGCAGTACCTGAAATGTGGCCCCATTCTGAACGATATCCTGAGCTATAGGGTCATTAATAAACTTGTGTAATGGTATCACTATATCTTCCATATCGTATGGATCATTTCCATACATAACTTTTTCACCTCTACGTGCTCTAGCTTCTCTCTGCGGTCAAATTAATTTTCAAGATCATGAAGCAAAACATCCAGTGCAATGTGCAACCATAAACAGTGTATGTCAGCCATAATAAATACAAGACGACAATGGCAGTAGGCCGGTAGTTTGAAACTTTAAAATACTCGGACCAAGGTATTCTGTGAAAGAAGATTGAAATAGCATAATAGGACGTAACGCGTATTATGTGTTTCATGACAGCATAGCTAAATAATGGTAATCGATTATATCGCTGTAAAATATAAAGTAAAACTCATTCTTCACATTGATGCCACTAAAATCTCATTTTTCCTACTCTATTTCCACTTCTCTATATTCTTTTGTTTTCCTGGTGGGTACAGGTCGTACAGCCTATAAAATGATTACTCCAACTCTCCCGTGTCATATCAGAAAAATTATATTCATGCACAATCAGAAATGTAAGATAGGCTTGAAATTAGAAAATCACGCTATAATTAGAAATCAGTATTCAGTATGGGTTCAACTCGAATATTCTCCAAATGAAAAAAGAAATTATTTGGGGAAAATGCGATAATGGGATCCATCTTTTCTAAACAGTGGCAGTTTCTTCTATTATTTGCTATTCCTTTGAAACCTTGAACTGTTTTCTCTTATGGAGAAAGAAAAGTGTAAGAAAATGGAAGTATGGAGATTTATTCTATTATTTGTGATAGTTTATGTTCTTGCATTCGTATGTAGGCCTAATGGTCAATGTAATGAAATATTACAAATCACACTTAACTGACTTAAGTGGACTCACCCCGTAAAAGTGTGTGGTGCACTTACAAAGAATCACATTAGACTGTTCAAAACTTCATATTAAATAATACCTCCCTCTCATTAAGTTTAGAACAAGGAGTTTGGCACAAAGGAAAAGTGGAATTGTGTGAATGCTGATTGGTATTGAATTTGAAAGAGTAAGGATGATCATGACCCATATAACATCGCCAAATTTGGTATATGGCAAACTTTTAGGGACGGTCTAAAGAAAAGATGGGACAAACAAGATAGGATGAAGGGAATAATAAAATCAAGAGCTGTTTTAAAGAACTTACTCGAGCAAATAGGTCTTCTCTTATCCATGGAACCAAATACTTCCATGGCCAGATATCTAGGGTGCTTACTCCCTTTCTACTTGAACGAACCCTTCCTGACATTCTGGTGGCAGATGTTAAGTTAGGATGCACCAAGAACCTGGCTGCTACCTCCACTGAAAATTCATAAGCACTGAAGATACGGTCAATTGGGTTCCTAATAATTGTCACCACAGAAGTTCTATCCTTAGGAAGTTTAGACATCACGCTGTAGTCATCATGAGTAGCCAACAATCGGCAGTTTGTCTTTCTGCACATATACAATTAAAAAAGGGGGGAAACTAGAACTTAGATCAACATTTATAGACTTCAAAAAAACATTAATAGCCCGTTCCGTAAAGCATAAAATGGCTTAAATGACTCCCGATCTCCTAAAATTGCTTAGGTTGCAACTGAAATGGTTGAACCACGTAAGAATGATATTTAAAATATACGTTATTAGTAAAATGAAGAAAAGCATACTCCGTATACAGAAAAAATTAAGACTGTCATCATCATCATCTTCAGCCAATTCAACCTAAAAAGAACATTTAGATTTACTTTTTCCCTATATTGACCAACTCAGTGTGAAGAGTCAAGAAACTAGACACTAGTGTTTGATAGAAAAAAAATGGCTGATAAGCTGAAAATAAGGATACCAAATGGAAACTAAATTGCAGAGATAAACTACAAAGAGAAACTCAAGAAAAGTACAATAGTGCTTATGAAGTGTTTTTTTCGCCAAAAACAGGGAAAAACGCAAAAGAAAAAATGCCGCGCCTTATGGAGTACAGTGGGGCAATAAGCTCCAAGGAGAAGTGAGGCCTGTTTGGGTCAAGGTTTTGAAAGAGAAAATCAAGCCCCAAGGCAGCAGGCCTCTGTCTCATGATACGTAAGGATAGAGGCTAAGTGAGGCATAAACCTTGAACTAATATAAATAAAGAGGCATAAACCTTGAACTAATATAAATAAAATAATATGAAGCAAAAGATATGTAATATAGATAATTCATAATCATAGTTCAATACTGCAGAATCACAAAAACATGAAGTGTATAAATAAAAACACAAATAAATGAAATAATAATGTTCAAAGAGGACAAAACGTTAAGTCAATATGAAATAAAAGGATATAATAGGCACGCCAACCCTTGAGAAAAACTACGAAGAAATGATGAAGAGTGTGCATGGACTAATGGAGATGTTCGTTAACGGAATGGACTTGAGACACACGTGGCGCAGAATTAAGTAAGTAGGAGTATAACATGATAAAAGTTTAGAATATGATAAATATATATAACACCTTTTTAATAAAAATATATTAATGAAAGTGATATTATTTAGATAGTGTTCAGATATTTTATGAGAACTTCTGAAAAAATCATGTATTTCTACAAGAACTTGTAATTTGATTCTGCAAACTACATAAATGGTATGGTAGGGATATGGTTAATTTAAAAAATATCCTGAATATCAGGGAAGGAATGCCTCACCTACTTTTCATATTGGTATTGTCAATTTACACAAATATCTTGATGTTTCTGAAATGTTTCAACCATTATTGTTATCTTCATATTTGACCATAATCAGGTCCAATGATGCTAAAAATAGCTAAACCACCAAACACCTGAGCAAGCATTAGCCCAACACTACTGAAGGCTATGATAACTAATTAAGAAATTCCAAACCCTTTTCTAATTCAATAAAAACAAAGATAGCATCTCAAGATCAAGAAGTTGGTCACACAATGCTTCCAAAGAAGGAGAGCTATAAGGACAGAAAATGATCTCCACGAGTCTAAAAAATATAAAAGTGGTGCCAACAAATTGAATAAAGAGGATAGTAGTTGTACAAGGATAGCAAAAACTATTACCTGGGATCAAACCTTAACTTATCATAGGAGCGTGGACACTCCAAAGAGTTAGCATATAGCTTTTTGAGGAAACTGCAAGATGAGAATGAAAAGAAAGGAAACTGAAATAGAAAGTACGATGACATTTCATGTGACTGATGTGAATATATGAAACCTTGCAGGCTTTGCCGTGAAATGGATGAGAAGATTAAGAATTTTACCAGTTAAAATAAGTCCTTCCTCCTGTCCTGGGTACGTGAAGGAAAAATAGCAAGTCCCTCAACAGATGATTTTCTTTGTTGACTTCTGATTCAAGGGAAGAAGATGCCCAGTTTTTGACTGTGTGTTCACACTGCTCAAAAGAATCTTCTGTATAAGATGCCTTTGGTGTTGTAAAAACTGGAGAAGAGTTGAAGAAACAACCCCTTTAGAATAACATACATTTACTTAATTCTCCACTAAATTGGGCTTCACCATGTTTACACCCAAAGCATTGTGATTCGATACATGAAGGCTATATCCACGCCGCGTTCACATTTAAGCTAGAAGAATGCGAGACTAGAGAGATCAAGATTGCAAAGGGTTGCATTATATAATCATTAAAAGTAGAAACACCAACCTTTTCGCCATTTTCTGTTTTAAACTAAAAAAAATGTTGCTACTGCACTTTATTTTATCCATGCACACACACATGTAGAATAGATAAACATTGCCAAGTGTCTTAATCTCTTATCACCAGGAAAATTCACTAATTTACACATTCACAGTACAATGCTGAACAGGATCAGACATGAGATTGAGGGAAGATAAGAAAAATACCACTTAGCAAAAGCACCAAGTTGAAGACAACCTTCCAACAATGAATCATTTCCCTCATTTCCTCTCCCTAGAATCAAATCAACTGGAAATTCAAAAAAATCTCCTAATCAGTATCCACAACAACAAATGCCCAGAAAGCAATAAAAACACTAAGGCTAAAAAAACTTACCAGAAAAGGGATCTGCCGGAGAAAGCCCTGCTCACAGACAAAACTCTACTCAAAAAGTGAGAGCAAGTATTATATAATTTTGAAACCCATGTTCGGGAAATTGAGTAGACCTGTGTTGGGCTTAAAGAGATGAACTTCCCGATCGGGCAGTGGGGACCACTCTCACCACTACGGCCGACCGGGGGCTTCTATGCCCAGATTTCCACCCCAATTCTGGTTTCAAGAATTTTGCTCTTTATTACGGAGTAATTATTTACTCCCTATTTTTTATTAATTTTTTTAGCAAATCTGGCTACCTCTCTGCGCACTCCATCCGTTTCTTAGTAGAGCACCAACGTTCTAGAATGTGTTTCTTTTTCTGATTCTGATTCTCATGGAAAAAAAGTTAATTACCTAAATCGGAATTAAATATGATTAAAAAATGGTTATATTCTCTATATTAATTACGTAGTACTCCGTATGTGTATTTGGATCAATACTAGATTCTCACCCGTGCGATGCACGGACAAAAATTAAGCATCAATTATATTTTATTATTTGTTTACATTGTTAGCATTGGAGGATGCAGTAATTCCCGATAGGAGGGGCAGTACTGTAAAAAAATTCAAATACATATACATTAAAATTTTCAAATGAATATATCTAATAGAAAAAAAGTTGGGGGTAACGGCCACCATTTTCCCCCCTTTGTGTCGGACACTGTTTATTAGTAAAAGTTTTTTTTATATAAATCGATTGTGTAGATGTATTAAAAAATAATAAATGTAGTATATACAAATAAGTATCTATATTCTCTTTGTCCTATTGGATTTTGAGAACTTTCCTTTTTTGTTTATCCCAAAATTTTTGTCTTTTCATTTTTAAAGTAATGACTTTGTAGTTCTCCTCATTTCTCTCCAGTCCACACAATCTGAACCATACAATATCTACTTTTCTTATTTCACACCAAAATCAAAGTAGACAATGTCTAATAGGATGGAGAGAATATAAGAAGTTATAATTACGAATAGTCCGGTAAAAATTTGTGCGGTCAAATTTTTTTTTTTTGATCGTCAAAACCGAAGAGATATTATTGTGAAATAATGGGAAAGGTACTCCAATAGGAGTCCTGGCCTTTATATTTATAATAGAAGAGTTTAAACCAAACTAGGAAACAAATCTTCCTAATAATATTCTATTACACCCCCTCAAACTGTGCGGGAGATACAACGCGCAGGTTGTCTTTTAAAAAATGAAACTGCTGACTAGAAAGACTTTTAGTAAAAATATCAGCTAATTGGAGTTGTGTAGGGATGTACTGCACGACTAAGTCTCCATGCGCCACACGTTCTCGTACGAAATGATAATCTATCTGGATATGCTTGCTACGCGCATGCTGAACAGGGTTTGCAGTCAAATATGAAGCAGAGATGTTATCACAAAAAAGCTTAACGGGAACAGTAACTGGAAAGCCAAGCTCATAGAGAACTGAACGAATATGCAATGTATCCTGAACTGTATATGCAACTGCACGATACTCGGCTTCTGTAGAGGACTTTGACACAGTGGGCTGCTTCTTGGACTTCCAAGAGACCAGGTTGGGACCCAAAAATACGGCAAAACCCGTTGTGGAGCGTGATGTATCTGGACAACCTGCCCAATCTGCATCTGAATAGGCAATAACACAGGTGGCTTTCATAGTCGGTTGAAGCCATAAACCGTGGTCAATAGTCCCCTGCAAGTATCTAAAAATACGCTTGACTGCAAAAAGATGAGTAGTACGAGGAGCATGCATAAATTGAGACACTAAATGCACAGCATAGGTAATATCAGGTCGTGTCAAAGTTAAATATTGTAACGCACCAACCATACTACGATACTCAGTGGCATCTGCTAGAAGCTCCCCATCAGTGAGGGATAAAGAAGTGCGAGTAGCCAGAGGAGTACGAACAGATTTAACAGTGTGGAGATGAAAACGAGAAAGAAGGTCAGACACATATTTATGCTGAGAAAGAAATAAGCCTTTAGCAGAACGTACAGCCTGGACTCCCAAGAAATAATGAAGATCTCCAAGATCTTTCATAGCAAAGTGTTTAGCAACAGTCTGAATAAAAGATGTAATAGCAGCAGAAGAATTTCCAGTAATAATTATGTCATCTACATATAATAATAAATAAATGACAGTATTATTCTGGCGGTAAATAAATAATGAATTATCAGACTTGCTGCACGTAAAATGATGAGACAACAGAAAACTACTAAAACGATGAAACCATGCCCGCGGGGCTTGCTTAAGGCCATAAATGGCTTTTCGCAATCTACATAGGTGATTAGGAAACAACGGATGAGTAAACCCCCGCGGCTGACGCATATAGACTTCCTCTGTGAGGTGACCATGCAAAAATGCATTTTTGACATCCAATTGACGAATGACCCACCCAAAAGAAATAGCTAATGTAAGGACAATACGAACAGTGGTGGGTTTAATGACAGGACTAAAAGTCTCAGAAAAATCTACACCTGCTTGTTGATTAAATCCTTGAGCTACCAACCGAGCTTTATGGCGCTCAATAGACCCATCTGAATTATATTTAGTCTTAAAAATCCACTTAGAGCCCACAATATTTTTAGAATTATCAAACGGAACTAAATCCCATGTATTATTAGAGATAAGAGCATTAAATTCCTCTGCCATCGCCGCACGCCATTTTAACTGTTTATTAGCCTCTGAAAAACATGTAGGATCAGCTGATAAAACAACAGTGTTTAAATTAAAAATGGTTTTTGGTTTAAAAATCCCCGACTTCGCCCTCGTCTGCATAGGATGAGTATTAACGGCGTTGTCGTGGCTAATAGGAGAAGAGGATGCGGCTTCCGTGATTATGACAGACGAGTGGTTGGAAACTGTGGTATCGGGTAAGGGAACGGAAACACTGGTTTCAGTCAAGGGGACAATGGGGTGGACGGATGTGGAACTGGGAGTTTGGGTAACGTCAGGGGAGGAGGTTATTGGGGAATGGCGTGAAGTGGCTGGTGTAATAGGATCGGCGATTGGCTGAGAAGTGGGAGATTGTGGTGCAGGCTGGGATGGGGGGTAGTTGTCGGCTGGGTGCAAGGGTGAGGATACTGCCGAAGTATAGGGAATGGGATTGACGGGAAGGGAAGCAGGTGGTGGAGAAGTGGTATTTGTGAGAGTGAGATCATCAACAAGAGGAGTAGTAGGAGAGGGAGTATGACCCGTAGAAGAAGTCAAAGTGGTGTAAGGAAAAATATTTTCATGAAAACGAACGTGTCTGCTAATATACACTTTGCCAGACTTGGGTTCCAAACAACGATATCCTTTAAAACCGGATGCATAACCAATAAAAACACATTGGACAGAACGTGGAGATAGTTTATTTGAAGGAGAGGCAGAAAAATTGGGATAACACGCACACCCAAAAACTCTTAAAAAACTATAGTCAGGGGGTTTTTGAAAAAGAATATCGTAAGGAGAAACACCACTAAGTAACGGAGTAGGAAGTCGATTAATAATATATGCAGCTGTAAAAATAGCATCAACCCAAAAAGTGCTAGGAATAGAGGCTGTAATAAGCATAGTTCTAGCGAATTCCAAAAGGTGGCGATGTTTGCGTTTAGCAACACCATTTTGTTGAGGGGTATGGGGGCAAGATTTTTGAAAATAAATGCCATGTGCATCAAAAAAACGCTGCATAGTAGAATTAACAAATTCACCCCCTCCATCACTTTGAAAAATTTTAATTTTAGAGTGAAACAAATTTTCAACTAAAGCTTTAAATAAACAAAATTGATGAAATACTTCACTTTTAGTGCGTAAGGGATATATCCAAGTAAATCTAGAAAAATCATCAATAAAACACACATAATATTTAAAACCTAAATTAGACAACACATGAGATTGCCAAACATCAGAATGAATTAATTGTAATGGTGCAGAAGAAGTATGACTAGCATCCGAAAAAGGTAATCGTTGAGATTTACCCAAACGACAAGAAACACAATCATGTTCGAAATTAGAATGACCAGAAATAAGTTTTCTACGATGTAATAAGCGCAAAATAGTTTCACCACAATGACCTAGTCTACGGTGCCACACAGGGCCAGAAACAGTGATAGAAGCTAATGCTAAGGGTGCAGGCGGAGTGAGGCTGATAGGGTAAAGATGGCCATTATGACGCGCCTGAAGAAGAACCGCCCCCGAAGTTTTGTCCTTTACAAAAAAATAATTTTTATCAAAAACAGCAACACAGTTGTTATCAGCACATAATTTTTGAATGGAAATTAAATTAAACTTAATTCGAGGCACATGAAAAACAGATTTTAATGTCAGCGGCCGACTAAGAGTATTTAAAGTAATATTTCCAATATTAGCAATAGGAAGCTTAGTACCGTTTGCAACACTAACAGTCATGGAGCCAGAATAAGAGGATTTATTTGACAAGATACCTTCAGATGAAGTCATGTGAGCAGAGGCACCAGAGTCCGGATACCACAAAACATCGTTGGATTCCCCAGTTGGAGCAACCAAAGCAGGTGCAGAAGGCTGTGAAAAACGAGACGGACAATGTATCGCAGAATGACCTGCAGAAAAACAAATCTGACACACAACTGGAGGAGGAACTGAACCAAGAATACCCTCAGCTGAAGGAAAACCTGCATAATGATAGTGAGTACCAGAAGTAGATTTAGCATTAATATTTAAAATGGACATGACAGATTTACCCGACTGAGCATTGTTTGGTCTCGGATGGTACACACCCCCTGCGGCTGAGCTTCCTGGTACGGCGGCAGCCCCTGGTGCGGTATAGGAAATCTGGCCGTCCCCTGGAACTAGCTGATATGTAGGCTGATGCTGGTTACGGCCTCTGCCGCGGCCCCCTCTGCCACGCGCGCCTCTGCCGCGGCCTCCTCTGCCGCGGTAAGCGTGCGGTTGGCCAGGTTGGCCCTGCTGCCCGGGACCCGTTTGTGCCCCAAAAGCTTGCTGCAAGTTGGTGGATTCCTGATGGCGCTGACGAAGGACACGTTGTTCCGCTTCAAGAAGTCTATGTTCAAGGATGTCCGGTGGAAATTCATCCGGGAACATGGATATAGTTCCCACTACAAACTCATACTCAGGGCCAAGTCCATACAAAGTACTTTGCAGTAATTCTCTATTAGTGACAGGGGAATTTATTGCAGCTAAGGCATCAGCTAAATTCTTAATATCAAGCAAGTATTGTTCCATAGACTGATTGTCCTTCTTTTTAATGGAATTCAAGGTACGCTTAAGTTCCATGGCTCTAGGTAAACTAGCAGACATAAAACGTGTTTGCAAACGATTCCATATACCAGCTGAATGTTTAATATCATGCACATCAGTTAATACGTTCCGAGTAAGAGTAGCAAACAACCAAGAACGAATTGTTTGATCTACCCTAAGCCAATGATAATAATCAGTATTAATGATTTGCTGATTATTAAAATTCACTGTGTACATGGGAGGTACCTGAATGGATCCATCAATGATGCCAAAAAGTCCCTGGGACACCAAAAAGGATTCGAATTGAGTGCGCCAGGTGAGGTAATCTTCAACAGCTTTGAGTTTTATGGTCACAATTTGGGTGACATTAACACCATGAGATAGGGACTGTGCCAATAGCGCCATATGAGACCCACAAAGGAGATTGTCGTTGACTGGTCGTATGACTCCCGGTGAGCCAGCAAACGAGGGCCCATAAAATTGAGGGGATTGCGGCGGGGGTAGCGTTGGCTGAGAGAAGATGTGAGGACCCGCCGTGGCCCATGGCAGATGAGGCGGGAGGCTGTTGAAGACAGAGTGCGTCTGAGGCAGTGACCAGAACGAAGAGGAGATGTCCGGCGCCGAAAAGGAATTCTGCGGCTGCGGCGTTGGAGGAGGAACGGCGCCTGAAATCGGAGGATTCATCATCGCTGAGTGAGAAGCAGCAGACAAGGGGATAGAGGAGACATCGACGGACGAGACTTGGGTAATAGAGATGGGCTCCAGCGTTGAAGTTGAGGCCGGAACAGTAGAGGCGGCTGTCGTGGTGGTGATGGCCATACTCGGCTGCGGCAGAAGAAGGAAAAAGAGAGATGGCAGCCGGAAAAGAAAACCTAGGCTCTTGATACCATGTGAAATAATGGGAAAGGTACTCCAATAGGAGTCCTGGCCTTTATATTTATAATAGAAGAGTTTAAACCAAACTAGGAAACAAATCTTCCTAATAATATTCTATTAATTATTACGTCAATAAATCGTTAGCCAGTTGGCTAGTAATACAAATAGGAGCATGATCATAATCAAAAGACTGATCTGAGATGTGAGCATGTGACTTAGCCAGAGCGTGAGCCGCATGATTCGCAGACCTTTTACAGAAAGAGATATTAAAAGAACTCTTTGTTGCTAACAAACTACGAATATCATCAATAATAAGATGAGTATATGCTGAGCCTTCCTGTTTCTTTAGGCTTTGTACCACCGTGAGTGCATCTGTCTCAATTTCCACCCTTGGCCAGTCCACCTCCATAGCTCCCAAGATAGTATCTCGGATCCCCATAGCCTCCGTTTCTTCAGCCGTCCATCCTGCTCTGCGTCCAACCCCTCGAGCTTTAATAACATTACCTTCCTCATCTCTGGCCACCCATCCCCGAAAAGGATTAAATATATACTCTGTATTAAATGAGCTTGCATTTGATCTACACATTTTGTAACACTTCTTTCTAAATGAAATAGTTTTACATTTAGAAAAGTTTAACCACGAACGTACATTTCAAGTAATATTGCTCGATCGACTATTATGATTATTGTGACAAAAGTTTCTAAATGAGTCATTTACAATTACAAAAGGAAAGACTCTCAAATTAACGTAATTGTAAATTCATTTGCTGAATATGGTGAATATTGTAATTTCATTTTTTATATACTTTTTTATTTATTTTATTAATAAAATATATTTTAAATATAATTTTTTCATAATTGCTAATTTTGACTGCAAAAACAAATCTCATAATTGCTGATTTTGGCTGCAGAAACAAATCTCATAATTGTTAATTATATATTTTACCGATTTGTTTCTTGATTTCATACTTGGGGACAGCCGATTTGGGTATTACCTAACGGGCTCCAAAATTAGCAATTATGTAAAAAGGAGGATTAAATAACAATATTAGATAATTGAAGTCTATGTCCTCGTGTCTTAACGATTAAGCATTATTTTTGTACACTTTATATGTCACCAGCATTAGTGTACATTTAGCTAGTGAATTTATTTTACCGAGAATTTACTTGAATTTTAAAATTCAATTCTTAACATTCTATTTTATTGTTTAAAAAATAACATTCTATTATATTCAAAAGTAAACTCTTAAACGAATTCCATTCCACTATGAAATATGAATCATGTATTCGTATGTATGTAGTAGTGCTTTAATGTCGTGGTTGGTCGGCGCGATATTTATCTGCCACTATAATTTTTGAAGATAGATAAACAATTCACTTCGATCTTACTCCAATTTTTAAGAGTGTGTGTTTTTTGTGTTGTGTATCAGTGCTTATGTTTGAAGTTTTGAACCTGGAACCCTTAAAACACGCTGTCCAAATGTGTTATGGTTAAATAAAGCTCCCAAAATATAGATCACATTAAAACACTTGACAAAACATTCACGCTACAATATTGTGAAGTACAATAATCAAACTTAGCTCCCAAACCATAGCTCAAATTACATTTGTTTTCTTTTATTTTAACATTAAAGTACATCGGATTTATTCTAATCGCCTGCCTCCGTTGTAGGCATGGACTTAAAATATTAATGGCGAAATGGGGTGGTCTCGGTCTGGAACTGAGATCGGAGAGACTCAGGTCGATGCCTACATAGGTGGATTAGCTTCTAAATATGCAACAATATTTGCAACAGAATATCAGTTGTGCGCGTGTTAGCCATTTGCTACAAAAAAGACTAACATTTTTTTCCGAAACATGTAAAGTTGCATCAAGAAATGTGAAATCTTACACATTCCTTCCATTGCCCTTCTTAAGAAGGGAGTAGTCAATCATCCTAATTTCCTCCAAAGCTTCATGAGAGTTGCTGGACCTGCACAACTGGCTGAATTGGAGAATAATGGGCAAAGTGACGTCTCAAGGTAGAATTCCAGATTTTTCTCCTGTTAAAAGTTTTGCAATTGTTGCCCATTTATTTCTGTGGATCATGCGCTCTCCTTCCTCAGTAAATGGCTTGCGTTTGACAACAGGGTCAAGCTGATGCACCAGTGGAGGCGGCAAGACTTCCTCGCACGCTCCAATTCCCAGGACCAAAGCTACTCACAATTCAAGTTTGCTGAGTATTGACCGACGTCATACTGCTCACTTGATTTTTGTTTCTGTTGCCGTCATCCAAAACCACCATCTCATCGTCCTCCTCACAAGTGCTGTAATAGTCCTCCTCCGCCGGCACCGCTCTCCACGGTGGCATCACCAGCCGAGACCTGCAAATCCTCCATTACGGTAAAATAACAACAGGTAATTATATATAAGATATAACATTCACTTTTTAATTTTAGAATTGAAAATAGCATTGCAATCAATCAATCAACAATCTTTTTTACAATTAATGTTTCAAAATCATCAAAAAAAAAAACAATTAATGTTTCAAACCCACACATGGGAGTCCTGAACCTGGATCTCCGAATATGTTTGTAATACTCTTGCTAACTCCTTCAACTTTTCTGACTGGTGTTGCTGAAACAATTCCCAACGCTCGGAGAATCGAGGAATGGGCCGCTTCTCACCATTTGATTAACTCTGGTTAGCCAAAACTGTTGTTCCGCCTGCGCTGGGGCACAATCCCCGTCTACTCTCCATTGAACTCGCAAACTTGCCATAGCCAAACGCCCTCCACCAGAAGCCCTTTGGTCCGCTTTCAATCAATCGACTGCCAAGGATGTTGAGGGATGCAGATCTGCACAAATACTAAAATCTTTACTCCGTATTTATTTCTTGCAGACATACTTCATACTCTGTACAATACTTCCATAGAAAACCAAAAAGAAAGAGACATCAATTACAATAGCTTTCTCGTCACCCGATGCGCATCGAATAATTCACTGGTTTAACTGTTGGTTAAAACAACTCCGAACACGCAATGCATTACCCAATGCATTTCAGCGGAACAGGTGAGCATCACACATGACAACAAATCAGACCCGACCCATTAGTTGACCCGTATCTTTAGGCGGGAAATTGAGCTGCTTTTCCACTTCCTTTTGTATATAGTAAGATACTTGATGGAGTATATGGTCCAGGAACCCCCGGCCCATAGACTCCTACTTCTCCTACGCAAGTCCATTGGGCCAGAGAACAACTCAGGCCCGAATGCGGCGGCCCAAGCCTCAAAGTAGCTCAGGTTACACACTGGGGTGCCTTCGGCCTCCTTGGCCGAAGGCTCAAAAACTCACGGGATAGCCTTCTCTGAAAGAAGAAGCTACTGGGAGAAAACGACGGAAAACATGAGCCTTCGGCATTACCGAGCCCTCGGTCACATAGGGCCTTCGGCTACACAGGGGTCCAAGGTCACATGGAGCCCTCGGCTACACAAGGAGCCTTCGGCCAAACGTGTTTGATCATCGAAGATTCCTTTGGGAGACAGCCAACCACCGCATTTAATGCCACGTCGCATCCGCCAACCGCATTCAATGCGGTGGACGTACCACTGCCGGTGCCACCCCGGCTGATGTGACCCCTCGGCCGTCGGATTACTGACACGTGTACACTCATCACATTTATTGCTGCTATAAATAGCAGCCCTTGTTCTCCTTGTAAACCACGCTGAGTTCATTTAATAAATCGACTCTCTCTTCTCCTATTCACTCTGATTTCTCTCTAGTTATTCCCGCAATAACCCCTCGGATAAGATACCCCCCGGGTATACTTTCCATCATTTGGTGCTCTCGTTGAGAGATCAGAACAATCAAGTAAGGAACCCTCCCCCTCTACCAAACTCAAAACACCTACCAAAAATGGGAAGAACAACCCGCGCCCAATCCAAAACCCTTGAGGAGAACCACGTAGCCCCCGGCAAAACCAACGGGGCTGAGGCCTCCAACAGGCTCTTAGTACCCGAGGGTGGTATCATCCTCGAATTGGAACAAGCTACTGCTGACCTACGTCAGCAGCTACAGAAGAATGCCCCTGATGCCCGCATTGGCCTTGATAATCGAAGGAGGGATCGGAGTGAGAACCAAGTTCCCCCTCCGGCCCCGGCCATCGATCTTCAGGCTGCCTTTGCGGCCTTTGTCCAAAACATGGCTCTCAATTCTGGGGGCCTCGCCTCTCAAGCGCCCCTTCAGCCCTGTGCTGGAGGAAACGTTATCCAACTACCACCACTCCCCCCTTTGTTCAACAATCCTCTCCCAGGGATTGGCAACGCCGAGGGGGTCATGGCGCAGGATACTGCCTCCCAAGAGGCTCAATCTAGGGATAAGCGCCCCATGACGAAGGAGAAACCCCGGACCTCTGCACTTGAGAGGTTGGGGGGAGCTCCCGGGCACCGAGGGGTCCAAGATCGCCTCGGGAAACAGGTGCTCAGCAGGCCCCAGGAAAGTGGAGCCTCCGCTTTGGGCGCCGAAGGCGTGCCTCCACCCCGGAGCAAAGGTAAAGCTCCCCTCCATGCCGATGATGCCAG